CCTTTGTAGCCTGCAATGTGCTCCTTGTCCCTGATTAGTGTCTGAAAGGAGGTAGAACCAGCAAAAGCCAAAACGCACCAGGAAACAGGTGTTGCCACAGGTATTTCCTTTGCCTTCTCCCCAGGCCACTAATATTTCGAGGGAAATATTTCGAGGGAAATAAATTCCCATTATTTCGAGGGAAATAAATTTCTCTGGGAATAGCACCTCCCATAAACATCCCACTGAGAGTCAGACACATCACCTCTCTCTGGCTGGAGACATCCAGCACAATCCTCTTCATCACAAACACATACTCCCCATGTCCTCAGGTATTCTGGTTACTTCTTCTGTGGAGGACACCATCCAGAAGGGTGAGAAGAGAGGATCATCTTATGAACTCTGGGGTGTTTCTGTCTACAAGGGGATCCAACATTTTATGGGATTAAGTTGAAAAGTTTTCAGGATTATGCATAACATAGGATGCTTAGGAGACCAGAGCAGAGACCATGAAAGGGAGGGATCGTGGCAATTTGGCCTGGAGCAAGCACTGGAAGACAAATGGAGACAGAAATGACAGGAGCCAATCACATATGGACATGTGTCTAATGCATTAGCTGACCTTGCCATGCCTGTTTCTCTGTCTTGTTTGTCCACCTGCCAGTACTTCCCTGGAGACTCAGTTATCAAGTCCAGATGGGACAGGGAGCAGAGCTGATACTTCACTCTGTGTCTTGGAAGCCACTGCCCGCTGGCTTTGACCAGCAATGTCAGCTACTCAAGCCACACAGGGCTCCCCGGGGACTGGCTGGAGCACCACAGTTTCTTCCCAGAGGCCTCCTGCCAGCTCTCACTCACCTCAGATCTCCAGCCCCTCAGGGCAACTCAGCAAAACTCTCTCTGACTCATTCATCCAGTAGGAACCTGGCACCACTTGAGGCTGTGCTCAGTGTGTCCAGTGAGAAGCCAACGACAAGACAACAGATGCTCTCCTCAACCTCTCACTCCAAGTAGAGGAAGAAGGGAGAGAAAGTGATTTTTGATTTTAGAAAAAACTTAACTAATGAAACATTTTTTAAAAAATAAAATAACGAAATAGATAAAATATATAGAAAATATTATCAAGTTCGAAGGGAGATAACAGGCAGCAGGGAAGTTCCGGATTGCATTCAGCCACGTGTGGGAACCAGACTCTGGAAAACACTGACGGGCATCAAAGGCAGACAAACAGACAGAGTCCTCCTCAGACAGCAGTCACTGCAGAAAGAGAGCCACTGAAGAAATGAGACAGTGGAGAAGGAGCTGAACAATAACCTAACACTTTAATCACTCTAATTGTAACCCGAGAGTGGCAGATAGGATGTAACACCCTATTGGTCTATTTTGGGCCACCTGACCCGTTCACTTCTCCCCACTGGTGGCCACAGCAACAAGAGTAAGCAAGAACCTGGCATCCCTTGAGGCTGCGCTCAGTGTGTCCAGGGCAAGCGTTTCCCCTGTCTCCTGGGCCCTAATTCCAAAGGTGCTGACTCCTGCCAAAGGAGCTCCTGGTGTCACCACTGGTCCCCTGTGGGAAGTGCCTGAAGGTGCCTCTAACCTCGACATCACTCGAGGCTCCCGGTGCCGGTGGTTCAGGGGAAGCGCCCCGGGGCGCGGGGCCGGGCGGGGCCGGGCGGGGCGAGGCGGTCCTGGCGGGCGGAG